CTTCTTTTTGGTATGATTTTATTTATATAAAATCCAGGATAAGTAAATCTATTGAGATATTAATTGGATTAATAGTTTCTTAGAATTATGACAGAGAGGTAGGGGGAAAATTGGGAACTAATAATAATAATGAGCACAAGAATAAAGAAAATGTTCTAAGATTGATTGTGATGACAATTGCACAACTCTTCTTTTTGATTTACATGCATTTTATTGGATATACAAAGGTATTCAACTGTGTGGATCATATCAAATTATAGATCATTTGATTCAGTCCCAGCCCTCCCTAGTTCTTCTTCTTTTTAAAAAAATCATTTTATTGGGGGCTTGTACAACTTTTTTGTTTAATCATTCTATTGGGGCTTATACAACTCTTATCACAATCCATATATACATCCATTGTGTCAAGCACATTTGTACATTTGTTGCCCTCATCATTCTCAAAACATTTGCTTTTTCCTTGAGCCCTTGGTATCAGCTAATTTTCCCCTCCCTCCCTGCTCCCCTCTCTCATAAGCCCTTGATAATTTATCAATTATTATTATTTTGTCATGTCTTGCACTGTCTGATGTCTCCCTTCACCCACTTTTCTGTTGTCCATCCCCCAGGGAGGAGGTTATCTGTTGATCCTTGTAATTGGTTCCCTCTTTCTACCCCACCTTCCCTCCACCCTCCAGGTATTACCACTCTCACCACTGGTCCTGAAGGGATCATCTGTCCTGGATTCCCTGTGTTTTCCAGTTCCTATCTGTACCAGTGTACAACCTCTGGTCTAGCTGGATTTGTAAGGTAGATTTGGGATCATGATTGTGGTGGGGGGGCTGGGGGGAGGAAGCATTTAAGAACTAGAGGAAAGTTTGCACAACTCTTTTTAATTAAACCATTGAATTGCATGACATGTAAATTACAGGTCAATAAAACTGTTAATATTATAAAATAAATAAATGAATTGGCACCAACATGTTGGCAAAGAGTTAAACACACATACAGAAGGGGAGAGAGACCTTAATTCAAAAGAAGCAAAAAGTAATAAAAACTTGGAGAAGTTGAAAATGAGTCCTAAGGGAAAACAAATGATAACATGTTAAAATTTAAGCTAACTGTACTCACGGTAATCCACTTTCCAGTGCACTCTGTCTGATAGCAAGTCTATTCAGATCCCTGGTCAATGGTCCAAGGTAATTCACTGGAATCTTAATCCATGTAGGGTCTCTGTAAATGTACTCTGTCTGAGAACAAGACTTTTCACATCCCTGGTCAATGGTCCAAAGGAGTTCAGTCGAGACTTAATCCATGTGAGGACCCTATAAATGGATTTTGGTTTTTCGTTGTCATCCATAGCCTTCTGAAAACTGGGTGCTCAGAATTTAAGCTCTAATACAATTCCCTCCTCTGGTCTTGAATTTTATTATTTATAATCCTTTGATCACATAGGCTGGTATGCCCTTTTCATGTGGACTAACTGACACTTCACTTAGATGGTAGCTTGTTTTAAGACAAGCATTTAAAACCTCAGACACTATTCTTTCTGATAGCTGAGCACCATCATATTTCTTCAACACATATTGCTACAGCATCATACTATCAGTGATCATTTCATGAGGGTGTGCATCGAGCAGGGCTAAATCGCAAAAACTAATTTTCTTAAGTTAAGGCTCACAATTATGTGTGAGCTAAGAATCCATTCATATATTTAAGGTTTATGTATATCCTGATTCACTTTAGAGACAGCATTATCTGCTTCTTGAGAAATAATATAGGTAACCTACAGGAGATATTTGCTAGTCTAATAATAGTATAATTAATCTGGTCAATGGTGTGGAATTTAAGATATGACTGGAAAAGAAATATATATATATATATGAAAGTATATTAGGCTACAATACATGGAACAGTCACATACATAAATCAAAAAGTTAAGTGACTGAACATTGCTGAAGAAAACAAAGAGAGTTAAACACAAGGCAAAAATTCTGATCATCGCCATTCACTGTGCCTGCAGAACTAAGACATGTTGCCCAAAGCAAAGGAAATATGAAAATGACAAAAACAAGTTATCAACTATTGAACAACTCTGAAAGCAAGAGATATGAACCTAAGTCCAATACTTTCCCCACCCAAAGCATTGGGATAGCAGTCACCTGCTGCTTCGCACCCGAGGTGTTTCACTTTTAAATGGAAAGGACTTCTGTAGTTCTCTACTCTGCCACAAGTATGTTTAAGGTAACATCTGCTTCATTGAGTGGGGCCTCTAAATCCGATCCTTCTAATATGGCCTGTGAAAATGCCGTGAACCTCAAAAAGCCAAAGTCAAAAGGCCAAGAAATCAATAGCACAAAGCCAAGGACATCTTGGGCAGAAGCAAAATTCTGTTTAAAAATGCATGATGAAAAATCTGCTTAAAAATGTATACCACAGGATGGATCCTCAAGGAATGGTAAACATTTACCCCAGGAGCAGGCTGCCCCTCCCTAGTTTACCCCCTAACAATAAAGAAGGCACCTCCTCTGAGCAGACATATCCCTCCCCCTCCTCTGGTCCGAAATTCCATTGAGAGTCTCACTAAACACCACTGTAGGAATGTCTACTAAGTTGGGGTGTCTGTGTGTGTGTGGGGGGGGAGGGGGTGATACTATTGGGCAGGAATGATTTGGCCTTCTCCCAGTCCCCATTACATCAAAAACTGACCCTAGCTCAGGTGGGGGCCTCCTTGGAAGAACCGATTTTTGAGGAGTGTACAATTGAGGGAGTGAGCCAAGGTTCACTCACATTTAGACAGACACGCATGCTACAACATGGCTTGGGACACCAGATGGAATGATGGCAAGACCTGAGCGCAGATGCCGGACCTTATACTTGTGGTGTCAGGACATTCCCCTTTTGAGACTGACTTAACTTCTCTCCGCATAATGTCCTCCAGGCCCACCTACATGGTGAGGGCGCTGTCAAAGCGACCTTGAACTCCAGGGGATCGAACAATTTGCACATCTGTCAACTCAACCACAGTGGGTCTAGGTTTTCTTTTAGACAGTCATCCCATGAAGTCTTAACTTTGTAGAATCAATGGACTGTATCCCTAGAAAGCCACAACTATTCAAAAATAATCACAAAACCACACAAATCTTGCCTGCGATTTCATCATAGTCAGACCCCCTGAAACTCTACAGGAGATGTTTGTTGGTCAGATGTTGAGCATTGTATAAATAATTGGGCTCCTGGTACCCCAAAGACAGACCCCTACGTTGAAATGGTTGTCATTTTGAGCATTCGAAATTCATAAAATCATAGCGAGTCACACAATAGGAAACAAGGTCCAACAATGATAGCCGATTGAATGGACAGTGGGATCGATCTCAAAAATGTTCATTATTAAGACAGAGTTCTTATCTATGGGTATTTTTAACCATAATCAAATGTCGTTGCCTCTGGGTGGACCCACTGACCCGTTTGGGTGGTTTGTGGCGATCCGCGGCCGAAATCAATGGAAACACTCTTGGACTTGCTTTTCTCTTTGCCTCTGTGCTCAGCCGAGTCAGCCTGCTCTCACCTGTTTGGTAGTGACGTTCTGTCACACGGTTATCCAGACACCTGTCTTGGTCTGTCTGGTGGCTCCACCAGTCGCGGGATCTCAGAGCTCTTCTTCCCCGGGGGATAGAGAAGATGGAATAGGCACCTGCTCAGACCGACCTTGGTCCAGATGTGGCCCACTAACTTCCAAATACACTCTCATGAAACGAACTAGTCACGTGGCCCTACCCCAGGTGACAGGGGCTTGGGGAATTGTCCCTCCTGTCTGGGCAGCCTCCTCTCTGGCACATGTCAACACCGTAGAAAGAAAAACATCAAGTTTTGGTGGCAGCTACCTATCTTTGCCATATCAGAGTGTAGCATCCACATCTAGCGGTTTTTACTATTTTGCTAAGTCTATAGTAGGCACTCCGAAGATAACTGTAGAACGAATAAATGCAGTTGTGTGAAGTAGTTTGTGATGAGCGGTGTCAGAGGCATTTCATATCCGATGTGTAGAGTTTGGGAAAACAACAGTCGTGTTGTGGTATAGAATGCCCAGTTTGCAGGGGCTCAAAAGAATAACTTAAAAGAGACTGTGATCTCTCAGGTTTAATTTAACAAAATGCACCCAAAGGAGCGGGTCTGACTCTGGTGTGTAGGAGAGGGCCGAGGAGAATGCGAATTGAGCCGGCCATGTGACTGGTGTTCCCTTGATACCTTTCTTGAATTCTGGAACTACACGATGCAGGAGCCCAAGGAGCTGCATCGGAAGCCTCCGGGAAACAGAACAGAGTTTTCCTCCAACAAGGCAAGGATGACTACCTTCCGGGTCTACGGGGCTCTGAGAATCCATCCGGATCTGAGTCGGAAACTTTGGGAGACTCTACTTTAGGAGCGAGGGAGAACCGGCGGCGGCGGCAGGAGGTGGTGACTGAAGACGCAGCCGAGCCCTCCACGGATCAGCGCCGACAGAGAATCAGATGATGGGGCCAAACTGTCTGCCTAGAAAGAAAAGGATGGGTGAGGCCTTTCCAGAGGAGGGTAAAAGCATCTGGATACCGTACAATTATAAACAATCAAATTCATTTATCCAGACAAAATCATTACACATGCCCTGCCCGTCCCTGGTGAGAAGTCAGAAACTGCAGCCGGTCCACGGAGTCAGCTTTTCTCCGTGAGGACTACGATTCTGTCCGTGAAGCCGGAGAAGGAGTGGGCTATTGTCTACCGGTCATCTGGTTAGCAGGAACGATGGTCCCAGGGACTTCCTTCCCTACCGCAAACTGTTGAGGGGTCCTCCACAATGATAAGTGTGATCATTCACCCAAGAGCATACACTTGCTGAGATGCAGAACCAGAAGTCTAACTTCGCTGCAGAGACCAGGGCCCATCACTACAGCCTGCGCAGGGCCGGCCTCCAGAGGACCTTGACCCCTTTGCTCCACCAGGTGGCTCCCTTTCCTGCACCAAGTTCCCCTGCTGGAGAGCCGCTTTCTCGGTGGCTGCGGGACATGGGGCTGGTATGAGTCAGCACCACTGGACAACAGTGAGTTTGGGTTTGGGTTTGGGCTTTTGGCTGGGGTAATTTCTCTCCCGTAACTGTGTGCTTGTTGTCAGACCTCCTAGAGAAGGTGGGGTTGCCCTGCGGGGAAATGTCAGAGCCAACCTTACCTAAGAACCAGGTTTTTCTCCACGCAATCTGGGGCTCTCTTACTCACTCTGGGCTAAATTTCTCCTGGCTGCTTTCTCTTCTGCCAGCAATCTTATTTCTATGCTTTAGGGCCAGAGTTTCCCAGACTATGGAACATTCTGGAGGTCTTTGACCCAGGTGCTGAGAAACCGATCTTCCCCAAGGTACATAAGGTTTTTAAATCCTTAAGATAGTAGAGGTGTAATTGATTTCTACTCTGCGACAGCTCAGATCACTTAATACACTCCTCTGTGGCAGGAAAATGCAACAGGTTTTTGGACATTGTTTAAATTAAAATAATACGTGATTCTAACTAGAGTGCTCTTTACAGAAGAACAAGATACAAGATGAAAGGCACATTTATTGATTCTTTTTTCCTTTTTTTAGCAAATAAGTAATTAGTCCTGGACTGGCCCAGATGTAAGACTAGGATGTTCCAGTTTTAGAGACAGAGACTTACACTCAACGAGTCCTCTCTGTTGCCTAGGCAGGTAAAGCCTTTTTAAGCAATCTTGAGATGTTCATTTCCCACACTATATCAGAAAATTCTCATTCTTCAACTTGTTAATCATTGCTCAGAAGACAAAGAGTTCTATGACCAAATGCATTATCCAAATGCACCCCACTTCTTTATAGTGTACCAAATGAGTTGGAACTTCACTACTTGCATGCCTTTTAAAAGCAGAATTTGCACACACCCTATAAACTTATCAGAAAGGGGATGGAATAAGTTTAAAATACAGAAGTAGATTCAAGATCAACTGTGTCATTTAGCAATGCTGATACTATCCTGGTGGCTTTATTTCAGGCACCCTCTAGTACTATTTATATTTCAGCAACCCTCCAGCACTATCTATATTTAACCACAAGGAACGGTTAGCTATTTCTTAGGAACTGAAAACAAGAGATCCCGTAAGAATTTGAAGAGATCATGCGATATAAGACACCATCTATAGCGTCCTTGAGGAGCAGAATCCAAAGATATCCATTTGAGTGTCTCCCTGCCCCCCTCCCCATGGCTGTGTGAGGATCAGTCAAAATAATATTGCTACAAAATCATAGAAGCCTGTATTTCAAGACACCGAAATGTGAAACTATTATTTCTCAACGTAGCCTCCATCTAGGTCTGTAGTAGAGGCATCTCTTCCTGAAGCATTCTGTGTTCTTTGATTTATATTACCCCCAAACAGCTCTTTTTTTTAAACTTACCTGCAAATAAATTTTTTACTTTCCTGCAAATAAATATTCTCTAAAATGATTGAGTATCTGGCCCATTCCAAAGGGAGGTCGTCTACATTAAAGACGTTCTTAGGGGGTCCGCACGCTCCTCAAGAGCGTGAAGAACTGGAGTCACGAGGCTCTCACTGGTGTACTGGGCCCTTACCCAAGGGAACTCAAATTATTTTTTCAATTTCACAGTGTAAAAGTGTGCTTACAAGCAGAACCCACCCAGGGGTCAGAATCCACAGGAGGCGGTGAGGGCACTGTCTGCCGCATGAATGGCAGAGTGAATTGCAGGCTTCTTGCCATGATCATTAGATGTAAGAGCATTTCATATTTAACTTTGATCAAATACGTAGTCATAGTAACTCTTTTGTATTTAGATTTAGTGGCTGTAAAGCAAACAAAGCGGAATTTTCAGGGGCCCCGCACTCCCCCAGGCTCCTTCTCAGGCCCCCAGCATAATTGCACATTCTTTGCTTCTTAGGAGCCTCCAAAGTCTTTGAACTTCAAATTGGAAAACACTTGGATCTGCCACCAGGAGAAAAAGATAATCATCAAGCTTGTGGATTCACCAAGAACTAATTATGGTTCGTGTCTTTTCTTTTGATTGCTCACTAGGTTTGTGGACATAAAGATTGAATTCCGTAACTTATTCAACACAAGCTGATTAAGAAGCTTCTGCACGGGAGTCACGGTTTCTGGGTTTGCACTAACTATGAATGCAGGGAATGGCAGTTTGAACCCACCCAGTGGTGCCGGGGGGAGAGTGGGTGGGGAACCCTGACAGTATCCTTTCGTCAAAGATGACAGCCAAGAAGACCCTATGGAGTTCAGTGCTACTCTGTACCCACTGGCTGCCACCATGACTCAGCTTCAACTATAAGACAGTGGATTTGGATAATGGATCAGGTCGTGGGCCAGGGTCTTGAGAGAGAACAGTACAGAGTACCTACTCTCAGAGTACCGCCCCAAACCAAACTCGCTGCCCATGCGTGTCCCAGACTCTAACTCTTTACGGGCATCTAAAGCCCTGTTTTTCTCCCACGAAGTGGCTGGTGGTTTCAAACTGTGGACCTTGCAGTGAGCAGCCTAATGCTAACAGAAGATATTTATATGTGGACCATTGCTGCAAATATATCCACGAATGTGGTAGGGCATAAAACCCACTCGATGCTGATGGAAAAGCTTCCAACTCAAAGCAGCTGGTAGTTTCAAACTTCTGACCTTCCAGATTGCAGCCCATCCTACATCCACAATGCCACCAGGGCTTCCCTCGTACAGCACGGTCCAATGGACTTTGCCATATAGACTTTGACTTTGCTTCCTGAAATATATTTTTGAACTAAATGTAATAGTGTGCTCTGTTTGGTAGCAGCACTGTGGAGTGGGCTGGTGGTTAGATGCATGAGCAGACATTAAATTATAGACAGACATGAACTATGTATGTTAACTTGGTCAGTGGTCTCTAGAGAATTAGCACAGCCAATGTCCCTCTGTGGCAGGGTTCAGTTGTTATACTAACAACCTAACTGTAAACATACCCACATCCTTATGAAATGCACATCAGGTGAAGGAAATGTAATGTGATGAATGGCAAAAACAGACTTTTCGATATTTCCCATGAAAACGAGGTGGGCTCTCATGCGGGGCTGTTCCCCTATTGACACCATTCTTTCCCTTCATCGTGTTGCTATGAGAATTCTTAAGAGTAACATGTTAGTAATTTGTTTCAATCACTGTGATAGTTTGTCGAATTAGTATGTCAGCTTAAGTAAGTGAAACATCTCTTTCTTGTAATATTAAAGAAAGCACTGACATCTTAAAATGCCACTGATTTAAAACAACATCTCCAAACATCTGAAATCAGTGCATGTAACATATCCATAGAATGAAGGAGAAAAACTAGATGAGGGCCTCAATAGACACAGAAAAAAAGAATTAGACAAAAAGCCTATGCTTTTTCATGATTAGAAGACACAACAAATTAGGAATATAAGAGACCTCCCTTAACCTAATGAAGGCCACCGATGAAAACCCCTCAGGCAACATCCTACTTAATGGTCAGAGACGCAGTGCTTCCCTGCTAAGATTGGAAAAAGGCCACTCTTCACGATTTCTAATCAACACTGTACTAGAGGGTCTAGCCAGGGCAAATGGGGGGTGGGGGTGGGATGGGGAAATTAAATAAAAGAAATCCTGATTGAGAGGGAAGGAGTAAAACTAATTCTCCTTGCAGGTGGCATGATCTTGTATACTGAAAGTCCTAAGGAATTCACTTTTAAAAAATACTGAAACTAATAAAGCTACTCAACAAGGTTGTAGGATCTAAGATCCCATATGCTCCAATAATTGCTCCAACAATCCTGCTATTGGGCCTATGCCCCAAAGAAACAAGAGACAAAACACAAGCAGGACTATGTTCCCATGTTTATTGCTGCACAGTTCACAATAGCAAGAAACAGAGTCAGCCCACATGCACAACAGGAGAAGCATGGATAAAGAAACTATGTCCATACACACAATGGAACACTGTGGGTCCCTACAAACACAGTGATGAATGCATGAAACATCACGTGACCTGGAAACATGCTGAGTGAGGTTAGTCAATCACAAAAGGACAGCACTGTATAAGCCCACTACTAAACAACAATTTCAGCAAATCGTAGAGGCGTGTTCACAAACAAAGGGGGAGAGAGCCTGGGTACTGGCCATTTGTGCCATTGCTAACACCCTATATGCACTTCATAAGAACTACTTCGAAAGTAGTGATTGGGATCATTTCTTCCAAAGAGAGAAAAAGACCGAAGACCATCACTTGATGCCAGACAGCACTGAGACATGGTTGCCAGGAATTGATACTCCACAGGAATGGGACGTGAACCTTGCTGGAAGCTCAAGGTAAGACCAAGGGAGGAGAGCAGCTAGATTTCAGAAGAGGCATTGATACTTCTATTGGAGGGTAAAGGGGGAGGAGCCACCTCACATTGGGAAGGGACACTCCACAACCATGATAGAAAACCCAAGGGGAGAACGCACCTACTATTACGTTCCTGGTTAGATATATTGAGTTCGTTTCTACCCAACCCTCCGTGACTCACATCATGGACTGTGCACTGCGATGACCCTAGATTCTGGCCTTCAAGGGAACATGGCACCCCACCATTCCACCCCCACCCCCCAGGCCACACCAGATGTAGGAACCACGCTGAACAAGCTGGGCCCAACCTCAATATTGCCTTAATCCCTTAGACATAGGACTGAAATTCCCCTTGCAGAGAAGAAACAGATGACAGCCGCTACAAGACTGTTGAATTGGCTGTTGCTGAACCTTGGTTAGAACCCTGGCTTAGCAGGCATCCAATGAGAGGCGACCCAGGACCACCACAGATGTACTACCTGAATGCCCTCCTTGCATTAACATGGCATGAGTAAATCTTACAGGCCAGGATCTGCCCTTGTAAGAAGTGTTACAGGGAATTTTCCCCTAGCACCGACCCTCACGGTCAATGTAAACAGAGCCGAATCATTTAAGAAGTCCATCCGTACAAAGCAACAACTCATGGACTGTGGTTCGCAGTTGGACTATGCGGGCATCACCTCCCTTTCTCAACAGTACCTTACATTCTATGCATACATTACTGATGTTCTTAGTAGAATCCCCTTAGACCACCCTCCCCAACAAAAGACATCAATACATCAATTGTGTTTCTGTGCCCTAGTGATCCATACATAAATGTAAGGAAAGCGCTCCATTTGCAATCACTTCAAAAAGCATAAAATTCTTGGTAACAATTTAACCAAAGAAGGATAAAACTTCTACTCTCTACAACAATCAAATATTGTTGGGCAGATTTGAAGAAGGCCTCAATAAAGGACAGACATCAATGTTCGCGGACTGAGAGACGCAATAGCGTTCAGAGCGCGACATCCTCCAAATTGACCTACGGTGTCAGCATGAGCCATATCCAGACCCAGCTGGCTTCTTTGCAGAACTGCACACGCTGGTTCAAAGTGTGTGGAGACATGCAAGGGGCCCAGAATAACGGACACCATTTCGGGAAAGAAGGACAAGGTTGGGAAAGTCACACGTCTGTGCTTTTGCACATCAGGTGTTTCGGTCACAGGTCATTGTTCATAACATTTCTTCTTCATGAAAGGACATTTTTATTCTTCGAAAGAAGTCATTCAGTTGCACACTTTCAAAGGATGAGTTTTATAGTCTCTGAAATCTATCAGAGTAAAGATGTTTTCTAACCCGCTCAGGAGCACCTGAGAAGACGGGCCAGGTAACCCGTGTCCACAAGGGCACAGCCTTGAAACCCCCGTGGAGCCATGCGATTCTGCACATGCGCACTCACTGGAAGTCGGAATCAAGTGCACAGCAACGACAGACGTGTTCAAAACTCGAAAAATGCTTTTGCTCAAATATTTAACCACCTGCTTTATCATTTTTGAATGATGACAAGATAGAATTTCCCAAACAACGTTTTATCTTTAGCATGCTAAGTAAAATGAAGGTCCAAATGATGCTCGACTTTTTATCACTTTATTTTCCAGCTCTTCAAAAATATTGTTTACTTCCCCAGATGTTTATATGATGACTAGCATAGCTATTGAGAAAACATATAGCATGGGATATGTTTCCAAGCATTTCCCAGAAGTGATTGAATATGGGGATGTAGATAGGGTCAAATTCAAACCACTAGCATTTTTGAAGTGATGGTTCAAACTGCGGGCTTTATCCTGACCATTGCATGGGCACGCCTACCTAAATTTTAATAGAGTTTTTATGTCAACACACTTCATGGAAATCCTTTTTCTCAAACACAGTTTTATAGCATTTTAAATCTTGTTTATTTTAGCTCTTCTTAAAAAATAAAATCCTGCAACTCTGTTTAAAGTGTTGAAGTTTTCATTTAAAGTAAGTTCTTTAACTATGTTTTCATAAAGCATGCTGACTTTATCAATAATAATTGAAATTTTCATACTTATGTTTTCCATAAGTATGTTCTCATTCCAATAGCTATTTTTTAACAAGCCAGGACTCGGGATAGAAATTAAAACTATGTATTCACAAAGATAATGTTCTCCATCCTACTTTGGGGAATAGCGACTAGGGTTTTATCCAGAAGACAAACAAACAAAACCCCTGTGGGTATTCACCCAACGTGCAACTATTAATCTGTCCCCACCTGGAGCAAAGAAGAGTGAGGAAGATGAAGGACATAAGGGAAAAGTTAATTCAGAAAACTAATGACCACCACGCTCCGTGACGCAAGAGCTGAAGAACTAGATGATGCCTGGATACTGCTGGATGCTACTGCCAACTGACTGCTGTGGAAAGGATCACAATAGATGGAGCGCTAGATAAAGTCTAACAAAGATGTGGAACGGTTCTTTCTTTTTTTATTTGAAGAAAAGCGTTTTGTTGTTTGTTTTTAAAGATCAGTCTTACTGGTCTGATAGAGACTGGTGGCACCAGTCTCAGACTATCGCCCTTACACACCTTCTAGACCTGGATCGGACTCTCTCCTGTTGTTCAATTTTCGACAAAAAGAATGACAGGCATACGAAGTGAACAGTAAAAGATTTCACTCATTAGAAGAATCAATTAGACGAGATCAAAAGGGCAGCCTTTGCCCAGGGATAAAACCCGGGCGGTAGGAGAGGATAAGAAAGAAGAGCAAGAGGAAGTGGAGAGAGTCTTGTTACATTGTGGAGATTGTAACCAATGCTCGAAAAGCAACAATGTAGATGAAGTGCTGAATGGAACAGCAATGTGCTCTGTAAACTTTCCCCCAAACGACAATGAAAACACGGTGTCCCTGTCTATATTCTTATTTTGTAAAACTCTGTTAAATATTCATTGCTAAAAATGTGCAATATTTTAATTCTCAAATAATTTATTTTTAAAACGCTTTTGAAAAACCTCTAATCTTCATCATTTTGAAGATGTTTAATGTTTTCCCTCAATGATGATCAGCCTCCTTTGTTCAGAGCATGCACTTCAATGGGACATGGTTTCTAATCTCATGAAAAATTTCATTGTTCAACATTTTTTATCTTTTAACAGTATTCTGACATAATTTTGAGCATCATTGAAAGCCAGCAAATGTGTCACTGCCAATAAGCCACTCATACATATTTTAATTACAAAAATATTTCGTTTTTTTCTTACACTTACTCTGGAAAGGATTGAAAAACACTCTCAGCTGCCCTAATACCTTAACGTATCAGAAGATTTTCATTGTCAATATTTCTTTTTTATGTGTCCACAGATCCAAAGCATTTTATTATGAATAGAGTACCCATTTACAAAGCAGATCAGTTTGACTTCAGGAATTCCTACGCCTCATGCTTTACATCCCTGCGCGTGATTCTCACCGTGTAACCTCCCACCTGCTATGTGTGCCTCTCTTTTCCACTCCTCTTTCTTTCTTACGCTTCTGAACGCGAGCCTCACTTTTTAAATGCTGCCCTTTTGATGGCAAGCGGTTGATGATCCCATGGGGTGCATATCTCCCTAGCTCTGTTGTTCCACTTAAAGACATGTGGGGTCAGGAGGAGGGGAGTGATTCCTTTCCAGACCTGAAAGTGGATACAGGCGGTAGTCTCGAGGCCTCTCCCAGTCTTTATCTGACTAGTAAGCTTCCTCTTTTTTTAGGATTGCAGCTAAATACTCTCGTTTACTTAAAAGACAGATTGAGAAACGTATATAAGCTGTGTTGTATCTTCATGTTGGGTATTTTTTTCAATGTTTTGTTTTACTGTCAATTCTTAAATTTAGAAACACCAAGACCATTACACACCTACTACTGACCCCCCAAAGGATAACAGGTTAACTATAAAAGACAGATCGACATCAAACTATTTAGACACGGTAGCAACTGTAATCCTAGGATGGAGACAAAGCCCGGAGGGTTTTACAAGGCATATAGGCTGCATCTGTGTGGCCGACCTGACACAGCCCACCTGGCAGCAAAGCTACAATGATTTCTTAGAGGCTGTTTCGACAGCGACCCATTTATCACTGATCCTGGCAATCTGCTTCTGCAAAGATATCAGCCAAGAAAACCACACGAAGCTCCGTCCTCCTCTAACACATGGGCTGTCAGGATCATTATCTCTCCCAATGCCTAGGGACTCGATAGAGCACAGCGGAACTGCCCCCGAATGTTCCCTAGGTGGCAGTCTTTCCAGGAGCAGGTTGCCCCCAGCCCCCCAGCCCCACACACAGAGCTGCTGGTGAGTTTGAACTACCCACCGTTAGGTTAGCAATGGAAAAAAACCAAATGCTGTGACCATTGCTGCACCGACGCTCCTTCAAAAAAAAAAAGGAGTCTGCTCCTGAAATACTAGCGTGAGGCTCCATGAAAAAGAAAAATGTCTAAAGTGCTGTTGTTGTTGTTAAGTGCCGTCGAGTTGGCTCTGGCTCCTAGTGACCCGCTGTCCAACAGAACAGAACACTGCCTGCACCATCCTCCTCTGTGTGAGCACACACCGGACATTTTAGAATACCGCAAATACAGAGAAGGTTATAAATGCTCTCACAGAATGGTGTCCGACTTCTCCACAAGGAAGAGATCAAAGACAATGGAGATGCTGCTGTTAGGTGGCACTATGCGGGTTCTGACTTCCAGAGACTCCAAGGGCGAGACAAGAAGCATTGCCTTCTTGGGCCATCCTCCCAATCACAGGGATGTAAGCGCTCCATGTTGCAGCCACTGTGTCCGTCCATCTTGTTGAGGGCCCTCCCCCCTTTTGGGGTGACTTTCTGCTTTCATAAGCATGATAGACTTCTCCAGGGACTGGCCGCTCCTTATCATATGGCCAAAGTAAGCAAGACAGGGTTCATGACCCTCACCCCCAGCAAGCATTTTGCTGGAGTCCAGGTCAGA